AAAAAAAAAAAAAAAAAAGACCAGTCTTGCTATGTCCTTGTAATGGTTTGGGACCTAACCTCCTCTTGGGAGCACAGAGCATCTAGGAAGGGTGGTGTTCCCGGAGACGGTCTAAGCGAGGCAGCTGACACCACAAACGTCCTGCTGCCTTACAATTAACATAGCAAATCTCACATAAAGTTGGTAGCATTTACAAGTTAGTTAATTGCTAGTATGAAAAGGCCGTTTCTTTTTTAGAACAGGGAATACCACTTACTCAGTCAAAAGTGAAAAGGTCGTTTTCAAATGGTGCACATTTCATGAGTTATAGTTATTTTCCATTTGCATCATGGCATGAAAAGAATATGATAAAGATTTGTCTTTATTTTTAAATTCTATTTTAACCTCTAACAATCGCTTTCTTTATGAAGCAGACTAATTTTTTTATTGAAGCATATAGGCATGTGTTAAAAATGAATGGATGTTTTATACTAGAATTTCTCTAAACATATATATTTTTTTCTAATCCAGCAAAGAAAAATATGATGAGGAGTCAAAACTCCACTGACAGATTGAGACCAATAAACCAAACCTTTTTTCACTCAAAAACAGTTTTTCTTTCTGTTATAATGAATCTTTGATAGAGGAAGAAAACTACTAGGAAACATTTTTAGGTCTGCAAAATAAGGATAACTTCTCAAACCCTATATAAAAGGCCAAAACACAGAACTGATGACCTTTCAGTATATGTTAACTAGGAAGCTTTGTGTAACTTTTCGACAAGGCTGGCTAAGCTAAGAGACTTGGGATCAACCACTAAAGTGCACGGTTTTCACTTATTTCACCCTGTTTGTGAGTGGTGCGCATGCAGTGAGTATTTATATTGGTGAAACACTAACCATAAATCTCTTGTTTGGGGGCTACCCATCATGCCATTAGCTTGGGAAGGGAGAACTCTATAGCTGTATCTCTGCAATGATCCCCTACTCTTGGGATGCTCAATCCCCAGCCCAGAGGCCAAGTCTGGCTCACAGTGCTACCATCTGGCCCACAGGTCTCCCTGTGGGTCTAGAAATTTGGCAGTGAGGGTGTGGTGGTACCACTCCCCAGCTTCCAAACTTCCAGACCCGTGGGGAGCCCCAGGCCCTGCGCATTGGATTCATATTTGTATTGTGCATGTGTTATTATTTTCTGGTTCTAGACACATATTGCTAAATGATAACTTTCCCTATATATTTATCACCTCATTGTACTTATTACTAATGTTTGTACCCTTTCTGGCAGAGCTCAGGAGACTTTTATTTTAAGTGAATAATGAAAAGTGCCTAGAACATCAGAAACTATACTTGTCCATATAAGGCAGCTTCTCCATATCGCCCTGACCAAGCGTCTCCAAATGTGATTAGAGATGTGAATGCCCGGAAAAAAACCCCAGAAAAAATCAGGGAAAAAACATTTTTTTCCCTGAGGACTACTTTTGTTTTTTTTCTGAAAAATTGGAAAATTGAAAATTTTGGAAAAATTAAACCAAAAACTCCTGTGAAATATTTTCTTTTAGAATGATGAATAAAATGTTTAAGACAAGGTATTCATATATTGCTACCCTTTACTCCTCAAAAATGTTTTCTAGTAGTTACGTAATAGGAAGACGTTTGTATAAGATTATCTACAGTATCAGATCGTTACAGTTCCTGCACACCAAGAACAAAAGTACAGTACAAGTCTCAAATGCAAGAGCAAGATGCATTT